ATAATCATTGTAGCAATCAAAACTAATACAATGCTTAGGTAGTAATATATGCCCATATAGGACTTACATATTTATAATATAAATATGTCTAATGTTCCATTATAAAAAAAAAAAAAAAAAAAAAAAAATCATTGATAACTATTGCTAGTAGCTTTGTCTATCATATATACACAATATTTGTCATACTTAATGAATCATATTTTTTTAAAAAAAATTATAGATATTTTGAATCTCATATCTTTTTAACAAAAAACTTGGCCATTTTTATAATAAATGAAATTGAAAAGGTTTAAAAATATTAATTTATATAAAAAATAGAAAATTCTAAACAACATGTAAATTTCATATATTTAATCTCACTTAGCATACAAAATTCTACAATTAATTATGGTAGACATTATTCTACCACTATTCAATTATGCACACTCGACTTTGCCAACTGCATCCTAATTTTCTATTTCAAATACCATAAAATATCTATGGTCATCAAAAGTTATCAATATTTTGTTTATCATGTAATTGCCATACACCACCTACTTTCTACTTGCCTCTCTACTTATCTTCACATTTTTATTTCCATTCCAACTTTCTATCTTATTCTCACTATTACTCTCTAATCCAAGCCACTACCAATAGAAAAATATATTTTTTGTATTTTCTCTTTTCTATTCCATGCTACAAATATAGTGGAGTTCATATTATTCCATTCTCTCTTCATATTCTTATATTTTCTACACCTCTAATTCTCTCTTTCTATGCCTCTATCTTCCCTCACTTCAATAGCTTGACTACCTTCTACACAAAATTTTGATTGTTCCTTCCAAAGTGCATTTAAACCACTATCTTTTGGAACCTCTTATTCCCACCTTACTTCAAGTCCAAATTTATGTATATTATTTTCATACTAAAGTCAAAATTCTTATTTACTAGCTTTGATATCTTTTTATTATAGATTTTTTTTTTTTTTTTTTTTTTTTTTTTTTTTTATTCCGTATGTATTGACAAACATTATCAATGGCTTTGGCATGCCAATTACGTGTGATACTTACACAATACACCATAATGCTAGTTCTGCTAGCATTATGCTATTTGCCTCCTCCTACAAAATATACACCTTGCTCATGTCTACCTTTCTTGGATCCTTTTCCTAAAATGCACCTTTTTTTATGCTCATCACTTCTTGTAGGTATCAATGATGATCTTTCTCCATGTTAGTCTTTCAATCATTAACTGCCTTAATAGATTCAGATAGAAGATTATATTTTTGATAAAAAAAATCAAAGTATATTCGAAATCTTGTTGTCCTTTATAGTTTCATCATCTTCTTTCATAAAACTTGCTACCATGTTTTCAAATTTCAACATCAAATATACTACACAAATACTATAATAGAGAAATCTACAACTATACATTACATTTTTTTGGCCATGATATCTCATTGACATATAATTAATATCAATATATATATATATTATTTTTTTTCCAATTGTGCAAACACTTTAATACTTCTGCATCATTTTTTAGAGAACTACATTCAAAGTTGTACTACTTATATGTCCAGTTTGCAATTAAGTTACTTTTCCAACAGAATAATCTGAATTGAATCAAAATTGCTAGTGTTATCAACAACACTAGTTACCACAATTATTTTTTTCTTGCCTTCTAATATTTTTCTGATTGCAATAATAAAAAAAAAATGTAACTTTAGTCATCATGATTGTATTGTTGAGCTTAGAAAAAAAACTTGAATATGCAGAAATATTAATTTGAGTTGATGAATATAAAGCTTTGTTAGTTGCTTGTAAAGAAGTACTGGAAGTGGAATATTTCATGCTACCAATTTCTAACATGATCTAAAGCAATGCAACCTTCAAGATGTTGCTAAAAGATATTTGATAAACTTCCACTATATTCACATTGTTGCTCATGAAATTGTGTAAATCAATACCACAAAAATAGATCAAGAGTGCTAAAAATCATGACACAAAGATAACAAATAATAACAACTTGGTTCTTGAAGATACTTAAGATACCAATTACTTTCAGTTTGTCAAGTTCTCAAATTTTCTTTCTTTATAGCCAATCAAAATGTACTTTTCTCTCTTTATCTTATATCTAAGCTGTTTTGCATAACATATTCTTTTAATTTGGTTTTTAAATTTTTATTTGTACTACAAATCACATTTTTAGAATATAAAGAGTACATAGCTAACAAATATAATATAAGATAGATTTTTATACTATATAAGATTATTAACACCTAATTTTGTTATAGATTCTTTCATATTAAACATTTTAGAAAAGAGGAATGTAGTGGTATAAGATAAAAGTTTCAAAACTAGATATTAAAGATAGAAAATGTTCTTGTGGTTTAAAAATATAAAAAAAATTATAATTTTTTTTATAAATTATTGTTGCTTTAATAGACATGTTAAGGATTTATTTTTTATTATATATATATATATATATATATATATATATATAATTTATTTGTTGTACTAAGCTATTAAAATTAAAATTCATAAATGATCATTAATAATATAGATTTTATAAAAATTTCAAATCAAAATAAATTTAGATTAAAAAACTCAAAAAATTTAATACTTAAATCTAAGTATTGCTATTAAATTTAAATATAGGATTTTATCTTAAATACTAAAATACATAATATATGTATTATTTAATATATATATATAAGATAATTTAATTTATTTATAAAAATAGTTATCTATGTTATTTATCACATAATTATATTTATTAAATAATATATTTAAATAATTGAATTAATAAAAATATAATATTATTTATTTTTATTTTAATTATATTTATTTATTGTTTGTGCCACTTATAGAAAATGTCACAACAACTTTGTATTTGTGCCTATTCTTATGCAATTGCCTTTATAGTTATTAGAAGGTTTAAAAAACAATTTTCTCTTGGATGCACATATTAGCTAGTTAGTTGTTTATCTTAATTTTTTCATCTTCTTGCCTACATCTTTAGTCTTAATGCCACCAAATTAGATAGAACTATATAGAAAAAAACCATATACATGTCTATTTGCATACTTTATAATTTTAAAGTTTTTTTTTTTTGGTAAAAATTCTTTGATACTTTTTTTTGATAATTCTTCTATAGTATTAAAATTAAAATATTATAAGATTGTTATTAAAATGTTATAATGTGTGATCACAATGCAAAAAATGGAAGTGCATCCACAGATATATTACCATTTTTGTAGAGACTAAAAGTTCATTAATTGTATGAAGATTGATTTACATTGTTTAATACTTGTATGAAGGAGATCCATCAATAATTAATTTAAAATATTAAATATGAAGATGCCTTTGTATTAAAAAATTAGAATGAAACTTGTTGCCATACTCACATAAATATACATTTTTTTTTCCTTTCCATTCTATTTAATCCACTTCATAAAAATTAAATTTATTTGTTAAATGGTGATCAATGAGTTACACTTCATTATTAGTATAACATTTTTTTTACATGACTAAAGCTCCATGAGATGTTTACTGTTAAATCCCTTGAATTCTAAAGAATATCTCTTATACACATTAATAGTATATCTTGCTAAGGTAAGATAATACCCACTTGTACTTAGGGGAGAAGGAAAAAAAAAAAAAAAAAAAAACTAAAAACTAAAAACTAAAAACTAAAAAAACTTAAAAAATCTGAAAGAAACTAAAATTGTTGATGTTTTTGTCACCTCAAAAGTTGGTGATAAAAATTTTCAAAAAAATTATCTAATAGAAAGAAAAAAAATTAAGAAATTGCTTGTACAAATTTCACTCATTAGGGTTATATCCACAATCCTCATCTATTGATGCTAACCATGAGATCTTGATGAATGCAAAGGGGAAGTGGGGCAAAGAGCATGGCTATTCTTGAACTTAAAAAAACCAACAAAAGTTGCTTTTAATGACCAAGAACTACCTCACACACAAATCAGGCTGCAATCTTACTCAAATCCATGAAAATACTAAACACACTTTAAGCCTTACAATTGTGGACAAATAAGAATGTGAGCAAGTAATTTATTGTCAATTTCTTACTGGTGTTTTCTATTCATTGTTCTCCTAACCATCCTCCAATGTTTCTCGCACAATTATATAATAAATATTATATATATATATCTCCATAGCTATGTAAGAATAAGAATGAATAGAGTGCTGGGTTCGAGGGCGTTGCAAACAACGTGCCGTTCATTGCTGTCGGTGAATATTTTTTTCCTGCGCACTTGCAGCAGATTCGCAAATTCGCAAGCACTGGAAGCGCGGAGCGAGCGTCCCCACCACGCCATCTGTGTCGGGTAGTGCTCGGCGAATCGAATCTGCACCCGACGCATCGCCACCAGAACCATGGCTTTTTCCTCTTCAACGCTGCCAAGGTTTAGCCCACATGCATAGTTGGACAAGCGCCTTTCTGTTTCGGGATGTGCCTCGCCGGATGCTGCGCGATGCGTCGACAAAGCGTGGAGACGCCCACCTGCACGCTTGCGAGGAGCTGCGGACTGCAGCGCGCACTCCTCTCGTTGATCTTGTGCGAGTAGGTTCGGGTCTTACTGGTTCTGATCACATGCTCCATGACCCCCCCCCCCCCCCCCCCCCCATTTGCAGCCTTCTGTCTTGGAAATGTTTTGAAAGTCAGAACTGTAATTTGAACAAAAAGGGGTGCGTTATTATGTCAATTGATCTACAAATTTCACTCTGCACTTGCTCTATTTCTACGATTGCGAGAAATTGGAAGTGAAGATGAATGGCCAGTACCGGAAGAAGTTGAACACTGAAACCAACAATTTCTTTGCTTGTCATTCTCCGCTGATGGTTTTTAAATCTTTTCGAACGTAATTCACAATCTTGTGATTGTCAACTAATCCAACAATCGATTGACACTCACGCACCGCAGAAAACCAAAATGAGCAGAGAAAAAAGAAGCAGGGTATACACGCACAAGAGCTCAAGGGTGAGGTGGCGGTGTGGTATTTTCAATGTCACTTCTTTATTTTGTACAGGCAGCAACAAAGGCAGCTTGATTCTGTTCTTTTTCAAGTACGAAGTTCTTTCCCAGAATTCACGTATAGAACATACAACACTACCAATACCCAACTCTAGCTAGGTAGGCAGGCAAACACCAGATCTTTATACTTAAAATCATTATGGTGAAGGAATCTGCAGCAACTAAGCACCTAAGCACTGGAGGGCCCGCCCTCTACCGAGGTCACTTTGCTTTCGCCTTTACAAAGTGCTAAAAAATGAGAAGGATGAGCAAGACCTCAGCTTATCAGTCCTAAAAAATCATGGATGCTCGTCACTACCTTTGAAGCTCTACCAACTCTATCTGAACTAAATATATCACACAAGTCGTTGGAGCAAACTGGACATGCACTTGCAGTTAGATGCTACTGGTGTGTGGTCCTCGAGGTATTCGGTAACGAGAATCGATTGAACATAACCAGCCTGATCCTCACATAGGGCCAGAGAGAGAGAGAACTAAAAAATTAAACTAACCAAGATCTAAGGGAAAAAAATGCCGCAAAGGCACAATTTGAATGCCCCGGTTACGGCCAATCCCACCAAGGAAGAATACTTTGCTCAGCCATGGGCGGCAAAAAATAGCCACTAGTCGCGTCTACTTGGAAGTGATGGCAACCATCTTCAAGCTTCACCGAATAAACTTTCTGCGAAGTGTTCACAGCCTCCTCAACTGTAAGGTGTCCCACAAAGTTCTCTGGAAGGAGTTGGCCGCAGTAATTTGCCAGCTGCTCCTCGCGGGGGTTGCTGTCCGTAGTGCGGGGGCTGTCCGCGTCGAGCAGATCGCTGGAGTTGCTGCCAGAGCTTGTTGAGGTTATCTCTGCCTCAAGCGTAGTGGCAGAGCATACGACTGTGGTGGGAGAGGATCTAGTGCTTTGGTTATCCTTGGGAGTCGCAGGCTTGGATTCCTTCAGCTTGTCTGATTTCGCTGGGTCATTTGCCGTTGGCTTGCAATGCGAGTCCTTCTCGCTCTGGGAAAAGTCTACGGATTGGGAATCTTTGGGGATAATCTTGGCTGAGAGACGCACGAGCTGAAAGCGAATAGAATTTGAGTTAGGGCCATGAGGAACTCGATCGCAAGGAGAGGGTTGCCACAACATGGTGATCGATTACTGAGCACACTTCTAAAGTGATATTGAATCCAATGATGGGTGCTCACCTCGGCCTTGAGGACATCTTTCTCCTCGAGCACCTTCTCAAAGTCCCGCTTCAGTTTGCTGTACCCAGAGTTGAGCAGTTCGAAGTCGCGCTCCAGCTGTTTCGTTTTCCAGCGTGCACGTCTGTTCTGGAACCAGACCGCGATTTGGCGGGGTTGCAGTCCAAGCTCCTTGGCCAGTTTCATTTTCCTGTCGGGCTCGAGCTTGATTTCCATTTCGAAGTTGCGCTCTAGGGACCGCACCTGCTCGAACGAGAGGCGCCGCTTCTTCTCCATTGGGTGGGCGCCGTCGTAGCAACAATCGTCACCTTCCTCAGGCTCCTCCCCAGGCCCTTTGTCGGATATGGGATAGTGGGGCCGCTTCTGCCCACGCCCTGTAGCTTCCTCTTCCAGACCTCCTCCCGAACTAGAAACTGCAAGAAACAGAAACAATCATTCAACGAGGACATCTGCCGAGCCTTCAGATGAAGCAACAATCATTCAATGAGGACATCTGCCGAGCCTTCAGATGATCGAACTGAGGGAGGCAACAATTTCGACCACTCTCGCAGTCATATACCAAAGCAAATTGAACTCCTCTTCACCAGGAAATACAATTCAGCAGCGCTAACCGACTTCCTCAGGCATCAGGCCCAGTCCTACAACTCAGTTGAACACTCGATTGTGTCGTGGCTGTCAAACAATCCACTGCATCGATCACTAGTCTTGCAAAGTTTGAATTTCAAGCTCTTGGTTGGGAGGAAGGAGGCACCACCTCGGAAGCCTGCGTGAGGATTGCACGACGTGAGCATGGCCACCAGCGAGTTCGAGATGCCCATGTCGTTCATCATGCGCATCAGATTCTGTCCTCCGAAGCTGCTCAACCCCGTCGCCGTCATCGACATCGTTTCTCCAGCTCTCCCCAAAGCTGCCATTACAATTCCAGTAATCCTAGCAACTCCACAACTGATCTAGCGACGTCCCTCTGTAGTTATCCCCTGCATCTGGTTGTATCCGTCACATGGCTAAATTCCTCGAGCACATCATTTCATGCCTAGTGCACTGGCGACTAGTTCGCCTCCACTCACTGCAAGAAAGGACATCGCAAGCACCCAACACTCACAGTTCCTTGACACTCGCCAGTGCCAACCAAGCCATTGAATCTAGATGGGATAGGTATATATGACACCACTAGGGACACAAAAACTACTTAAATGGGAACTTGAACAGAAATTTCTTAACCTTGTGACCTTTTTACCCGCGCAGGGAAGAAAGCTGACATGTATTCCGAAGGTTTTACTTGTAATTTTCTCCCTCAAAAGCCCTGGCTATAAAATTGTCTACTTCGTCCGTCCGCTATGTACCACCATGATTCGGATGTGAAGTCAATATGAGGCATGGCACGGCCACTGGAAGCATGATTCGACGCCGGATGGGTTTCTAAGCAATGCCAGTCTACCCGGCGAGCTGGAGAGTAACAGAGACCTGTGTGGTATGACCGGCTGGTTTCTTCTTAATTTGTTCGCATTTCAATCAAAGCCGGTCACGCTTCAGTGTTAAGTTTTTCCATTCTTGGTTTGCATGCATGAGGAACCCCTTCTACTCGCCTTTCAGCTGTGCAGGTTGACAACCAACATTCTGTCACAAATTTGGATCTCCAACTACGAGGATGGACAACCCACCCGGCGACGCCTGCACACGTCAATCCCGCTTACCTGGTCGTGTCGAACAAATTCTCTCGGGCCTGGTTAGCATGCCCGAATACAGATCCTCACACCGTCAAATACTCTCGTGTACACTTAATCAACCTGTACATGTTCCAAAAACAGAACTGTTTTGTACAGTGTGCTTAGGTTGTGGTTTCTCATTCAATCTGATCAAGTTTATTCACGCGTAATCAGGTATACCTGTTAATGCCGTCTTTCTGATTATAGTTTTTAAATGTTTTTAGGAGTTTAGCTTTTTGCAATGAAGATTTATTCTGGAGTTGATCCGCACCCCAAGGAGCACTCAAGTCCTGAGAAGGGCAGGTGGAGGTACCGAGAAGTCTCGCCAGCTCTTACTAAATGTCCTGTACCTTGAGTTCATCATGGGCTTGTTGGAACTTAAAGCACACTTAGGGTTAGGATATAAGTTCTATATTTTTGAGTAATTAGGTTTTTATTATTGTTATTGCTTGTTTTATACTTTGGTTTATATTATTGAAGAAAGTTCAACCGCAAGGGTTGCGTCTCTTCGACTAGATGTGATTGCTTGGACACATCACTTTCAATTACTTGTCTCTTCGACTAGATGTGATTGCTTGGACACATCACTTTCAATTACTTGTAACAATTGTTCTCTCACCACAATGGTATGTGGTGAGAGATGCAAGTCGAGTTCTTCTCCAAGAATGCCAATCATCAATAGGTGAGGGGCGAGCTTCAAATCTATGAGAAGTTTCATAAGGAGGTCAATGTGCATTGTTGATATGGGAAAATATTGAAACCTTATTTTTTGTTAAGTGGCTAACTGAAAAATAAAATATAGTACACTTTGATGTGCTTGGTGTCCATCAGGGTGAGAGCTGATTGGTTGTCATAGTAAAGAATAGTGGTAGCTTGAAGGTTGGTGGCTTATTGGAGGTTGTGGAGAATATGGTGCAACCACATAGCTTTTGAGGTGGCTATAGCCATTGCCATGTATTTGGTCTTAGTGCTAGATAAGGTAGGGAAGCATTGGCAAGTCAACCCCCAACTTACGATACCTTAGAATAATAAGATGATGAAACCCAAGGTAGAGCACCATTTGTCCACTTTGCTAGTCCAATTGGAGTTGTTGTAATCAAACATGGGGCGAGATATGGGACTCTAACAACAATATTTAATGACAAAGTATAATGTGCCATGGAAGTAGTAAAAGTAATGTTTTCACATGACAACATATTTTGTTCCAAGATTATGCATGTATCGAGTAAGGATGCTTATTGCAAAGGCGATGTCCAAGTAGATGCATATGCTAGTTTAGTTGAGTGAGTCAATGGCATTAGCACAGGAAAAATCTAAGGTGGCAGGAGAGGCAAAAAGACTAATGGGATAATTAAAAGCCAAAAGCTTGAAGCCAGGCATAAGAAGAGTCAAAAAGAAGACAAGCATCTAGAAAGCCATACTTACATAATTTTTGTTAGAGATACAAGCTTTAAGACACACAAAGCTAGTCTTGTTGCATGTCACAAGTGACTTGAAGACAAAGCATATGGTAAACATTACCAAGATCAAAGAGTAAGAAGCAAGAGTGTAGTTGATTCTTGATGTTGTCAAGAAGCAAATGGCTATTATTTGCGAGCATAATGTCATCCATATATAGTATGAAAAAAATAAAGGATGAGCTAGAATTGAGGCGATAGACATTATGATTAGCCATTAAGTTCTTGAAGTCTATTATAACAAGGTTGGTGCCAATGACCTAAAACCATTTCTACATAGACTATTTTAGGCCATATAAGATATTCTAGAGTTGACAAACAAGACCAAGGTGCAAAAGAGTAATACTAAGAGAAACATCCATAAAAATCTTTTTGCACAAAATTCCATTCAAGCATGTTGTATTAACATCTTTTTAGTGGACATGTAGGTTTTATTGAACCACAAGAGTAAAGACAAGGCGGATAGATTATATACAGACAACAAAGAAAAAAGTTTGTTATAGTCTAGCTCCAAAACTTGATTGAATTTGCACGTAACAAAGTGAGCCTTGTAGTGGGCAATATATATATTGCTTTGTAACTTGGGTTTAAAAATCTACTTGCAAGTGATTAGATGTTGGATAGGAGGGAGCTTGATAAAGATCCAAGTGCCATTGATTACATGAGAATTGAGCTCATCAACAATAAAACCTATCAATGGATAGATTTTAAAAATACTAGAGCTTGCATGTATAAGTTAGGATTAAGTAGAATAAGAGCCAAGGTATATAATGCCCATTTTTTTATAAGCATAAGGATAGAGGAGCATTGAGGTAACAACATTGTAGGGTCATAATTTTCATTTAGATTGCAAGGAAGAAGAATATTTTTCATGGATTTAGAGGGAATACGGCAAGAAGAAGCAAAGATTAGAGTAGAAGACAACATTACAGTGGAAGAATTACCAAGGTCAAGATATAGAGAAGGTGATCAAAGATAGGAGCTTCTAGGCAAGCGTAAATGATGTCCTATATTAGGCATAACTTTGATACTAGATCTTCTATCTTCATAACATTGAAGAAGATTAATTGGAGTAAAATGTGGATGAAGGTGAGGAATAACATCTATTGGCATAGGAGTAAGAGCTATAATGGCCAATAATGACAAAGAATCATAGATGTAGATTTGTATGGATAACATAACTTTGAGCTAGGGCAAATGTAATGACAGTGGTATAGTGGAGGAAGAATGAGCCGAAGCAAGTTGAGGCCCAAGTTGCTTTGTAGAATTGATAAGTGGTAGAGGGATGGTAGACACAGAGTTGTCAGAATGGAATGGATAAGAACTTGGCTTAGTTGATGTTGGTAGTTCAGTCAAGAAAGGAGAGACTTTGGAAAGTAATGGCAATGTAAGTATGGCAAACTCAGTAGATGAAGTATTAGCTATAAGATCGACTATTTGCAATAAGCTATTATTAAAATGCAGAGTGATGCTACTAGGGCAAAAATCAATTGGAATGAGATTTTCAAGAGCAATTATAAGAGTATTATGCTTTATAATAAGGAGGCTATTTTCTAAAAATATTATATTTTGAGAAGTAATCATAGATTTTGTACTCACATCTTGAACCTTATAGCCTTTACTAATGTGATTGTATTCCAAGAAGATACATTCAATTATTGTCATGTTGAGTTTGGTTTTTAATTTAGTAGAAATTTTTGTATACTACTTACTCACAAGTACACTAAAATGGCATAGATTTGGTTTTTAGTTGTGTTGTAGCTTGAAGAGAGTGGCATGCCTTCAATTGGCTTTAATTGGAATGTGATTTTAAAGATATGCATCATATAACATGCACCTTGTGGCATTTAGTAAAGTTTGGTTTTTATGTTTTGTTACTTTATTTTATTAAGGAATATATATAGTAGTTAATTAATGTTGTATGCTATGATCTTGTAGGTATTAATCAAAATTAGAGAAGAGGTACTCTCCTCGTTAATGAGAACAAAGAATGAATATTTTAGAACCAGTTTGTTTTTTTTGCTCATACATGAAATATTTTGAAGAAGTCAAAACACTAAGTTTTGCAGCAACAAAGCCAAAGAATAGTGTATCTAAAAAAGTTGTCAATAAAGATAACATAATATTTATATCCAAAAAATATAGGTATTACAATTTTTCATTTAAATTAAAATTAATAATTTTTAGAAGATGAATGGCTTAAAATTTAGCTTCTTTAGAAAATTTGATAGTTGTTTGTTTTCTATAAAGACATGTAGAATATGGATGTGAAGGAATTGTTTTTATAAATAGTCCATGTATTGGTTGACTATTGAATAATTGTAATAATTAAGAATTGTTGATATCGCTGAGGCAACGATACTAGTTGCTTGTCAAGAAGATTATTCTAGTATGACTTCAATGCAAAGGGCTTGAATTGAGGTTGGCAACAAATAAGAGGCTTATGCATAATACTCATCAGCTGTAGAAATTAGGTAATTTTAGGATACTGAAATGAATAATGTCATGGACAGAGTGTCATGTAGGAGTGAAGTTCAATAGGAACTGGTGGGCTTCATTTTTTGGGGATCCAAAAGACATAGTTTGTTTTCAAGAAGAAGACAAGTGTGGTAAGTGCCATATGCACTATGATTGAGGCAGTAGAAACAATGGCTTTCAGCAAGTATATATTATTGCAAAGATGACATTCAATAAGAATTTGATCATCTTAATCCAATAGCTTGCATATTTGATTTTTGATTAGAAATCTTCCTTTAATTTGGTTGTATTTATGTGCTAAAAATAGATTTGTGTATAAATTTGAAATATATAAAAAATTTAAGAAGTGAAGTATGGATCCTCGTTTTAGTTGAATTTTGACTATTTTATGTCCATAGATTAGAAGGATTGTGTTGTTTTTAAGATGCATTTAATAATCTTTAAATAAAAGACTTAGAAAATTAGTAAATTGTGTTTTAATGTGAGCTAGATGATGTATAGTTCTTGTATTGACCATCTATTAATTGTCTCTTGTTT